TGTGTGTATGTTACTAGGGATCTAACTAGACCTTGGTTGTGTTGTGTAAGTATGTTACTACTGGGTTATATCCCTTCCAAATCTAAATTTTTTGTTGCTTCCAGGATTTTTCCTTAGATTTCTATAAGATCATTGAGCCCAGTTAAAAGTGATTATAAAGATGTATCAGCCAGGCATGGTGGCACCTGCCTTTAATCCCAGCACTTGGGAGGCAGAGGCAGGTGGATCTCTGTGAGTTCGAGGCCAGCCTGGTCTACAGAGTGAGATCCAGGACAGTTAGGACTGTTACACAGAGAAACCCTGTCTAGGGAGAAAAAAAAGAAAAGATGTTATGTCATGTCATCTCCTTTAACGATTGCGCACGCCTATAATCCCAGCAATTAGGAGGCAGAGGCAGGTGGATCCAGAGCTGTTACGTAGAGAAACCCTGTCTTGAGGGGGAAAAAATTGCTAACACACACACACACACACACACACACACACACACACAAGCGAACGAGCGTGCCTACTAACCGTCTTTAGACACTCCCTCCTTGTCACGCGCTGCTTACAGCATGTGGCTTGTGATTCCAGGCTCAAGCACGGACATCAGTGAGGACTGGGAGAAGGACTTTGACTTGGACATGACAGAAGAAGAAGTGCAGATCGCACTCTCCAAAGTGGATGCCTCTGGTGAGGTAAGTAGGTCTGGTCCGCTAGGGCACGCTAGTCCAATGATATCAGGGTAGAAGTCCTTTCCCAATAAACCTTGCTGGCCTGATGTGACTCCCTACATCCCGCTGAGCTAATGCCTGCAGGAAGGGATGCTGCTGCTCAGTCCTAGGCTGGATGCATGAGTGAGTTCTTTTTTTTGGGGGGGGGGGTGTTTTTTGTTTTTGTTTTTGAGACAGGGTTTCTCTGTGTAGTTTTGGTGCCTGTCCTGGAACTCACTATGTAGACCAGGCTGGCCTTGAACTCACAGAGATCCGCCTGCCTCTGCCTCCCGGGTGCTGGGATTAAAAGCATGCGCCACCACCACCCGGCATGAGTGAGTTCTTAACCTTAGGTCTGCATCACAGTAACCAAAGGAACAAGAAAGAAACAGATGCTGAGCAGGGCATGGTGACACTCTCCCAGTGGAAACCCAGTGCCCAGGAAGACATAGAGATTACTGCCTCAAGTACATAGCAAATTCAGGCTGACCCGGGCCTGGATTAGAGAGAGAGAGATGCTGAAGCCTGCCCCTGGCCTTGTGACTTATGAGACCTTAGCAGGTTCCTAGCCTTGGAGACAGAAGGTCTTTGATTGAGACCAAGTCATTTGCCCCCTGTCCTCCTCTGAAATAAAAGACTAAAAGTAGCCAGCTCAGAAGCTTTAGCAGGGTAAACCATGTAAATGCTGTTACGTGTGGTACGTGTCATATGATGGCATCCAGTGGACATTAATGACAAACACCACAAACCCCATTCCTGCTAGTAAGTTTACATGGGCCTTTTATAGTTTTCATTCTTTGCTGCCTCCCCAAATCAAGAGCTAGTCCAATTTCGGCTGGAAATGAAGGCACACATCACCTTTAATCCCAGCACTCAGGAGACAGAGGCAGACAGATCTCTTTGAGTTTGAGGTCAAGGACAGCCTGGTCTACATACCGAGTTCTAGAACAATTAGGGCTGCACAAGTGATTCTGTCTCAAAACAAAAGAAAAGCCAGGTGGTGGTGCACGCCTTTAATCCCAGCACTCGGAGGCAGAGCCAGGTGGATCTCAGTGAGTTCGAGGCCAGCCTGGACTACAGAGTGAGTTCCAGGAAAGATGCAAAGCTACACTGAGAAACCCTGTCTCAAAAAAACAAAGAAAAAAGAAGTGTAGAGAATTAGTGAGACACAGGATCTGAGTCCCAGTCTCTGTGTGTGTTTCCTTCTCTCCTTTCTCTCTCCGCCTCTTCTTCCTTTCTTTCCTTTCCCCCCCATGGTGGAGGGGGGGTTATCACTGACTCACTATATCCCAGGTTGGCCATGAATTTGCATCAGTCCTCTTGCCTTAGCCTTCTGAGTTCTAGAATTGTGGGCATGAACCACCAGGCTCAATGACAAGGACCTGGTTGTTCATATTGAAAAGCTAGGGAATTAATGACCTATTCAAGACTGTTTTGTACCTGTGACCCACTATTACAGAAGACCCCATGTCCTGTTATACCTTAAGGATTTGCTAGCTTATGTCTTTTAGCTCTCATTAAAACTTGATAGGTGGGAGCGGGAAAGATGGCTCAGTGGTTAAGAGCAGCAGCTGCTCTTCCAGAGGTCCTGAGTTCAATTCCCAGCAACCACATGGTGGCTCACAGCCATCTGTAATGAGATCTGGTGCCCTCTTCTCTCTGATACCCTCTTTTGTCATGCAGGCATATATGCAAATAGAGCACTCATATACATAAAATGCATGAATAAATAAAAATTTTTAAAAATAAATAAAAGCTGATGTGCTTGGTTGGGAATGTGGCTCTGTGCTGTGACTCGCCAAAGCATTCGGGAGGTCCTGAGTTTGATCTCCAGCTCTGAAAGAGCTTAAGCAAACATACAACAAAACCTAACAGGCAGTACCTGAGCAGGCCGCCTCAGTCCCACTGCGGCAGGAGTCAGCTGAGAGCAGGCCAAGAGTGACAGGGGGAAGACTTGATCTGGAGGTGAGGGTGCAGAAAGGCCTTGTGCAAAGAGAACATAGATCCAACAGGAGTGGGAGGAAAGAGTCCATTTGACCTGTGGCAGATGGCTCCAAGTGGAGACTCCCTAAAGCTTGCCTGACTCCTTTAAAGTTGACAATAGGAGAGAAAAGTTTTAGCTCTATTGGCAGTGCAGCCCTGCTACCCTGTTGGTAGTCACAGTGATGCTCTCAGTGCTTGGCTTTTAGGACGCATGGCCTTTGTCTGCTCAGCAGAAGCACATGCTCCTCAGGCAGGCCACCATGCGGAGCTGGGTTTAGCTGGTGGAAGTGTAGTCTGAAGCAGTGAGAGCCGCAAGGCCCTCCTTCAGGCAGTGTGTTCCCCGGTGGAATCCCTAAATTCCGTGTGGGGATGGGCCCTTCCAGTGGTCGCCATGCTCAGCTCGGGAGGTGGGCTCTGGGCTTGACTCGGGATAAGTGCGTTTGTGCTGACTCTCTCCTCATCTTTGCAGCTGGAAGATGCAGAGTGGGAGGACTGGGAATGAGGGGAGCCAGAGCAAGCAGCTCCCCCACCCACGGCACATCCCACCTCCCTCGCTCGCTAATCTCAGCCAGCCTTGGAAGACACTGAGAATGTCCCCCCCACAAAGGGCCTCTGCCATCTAGAAGCTGGTGCAGATTCTGGTGGCTCCCTGCTGGCCCTCTGCTCTCTCACCTTGGAAGAGCCTTTCTAAATACAAATCCAGAAGTCTGACCTGTGCCGGCCTTAGGAGGACCCATACATCACGTCTGTCCCCTGCACTTCTCTGCGCTTCTCGGACCCCTGCTGGGACACCTCCTGGGGTGGCTGTCTCCTGCAGACAGGAGCTGAAGCCCGGGTCTCTGAGGAGGCCAGGATAATGCACTCTACCCTGTAAGCTAGTCAGCTCACAAGGAAGGCTCTGCCACCTGCCCTTGGCTGCACAGGGACAGGGAACAGCATTTGGTTCCTGTCCAGTGAGTAAGAGGCAATCATCTCGGGGAAATTTGCCTCTCTCTGGAATCTCCCTCCCAAGCGTTTCCACTTCTGGAAAGGTCCTATGGGTTCAGAAGCTAAGACCAAACCTTGACTCTCCTTGAGCACACACCGGGGTATCCCTCCATCTTCCCAGGGCGTTTTCATGTCAGATGCACCCAAGTCCTTAGCCCAGCCGTGCCACTGCAAGAGTCTGCTCTTGTGTTTCTTTCCCTCCCCAAGAAGCGGGGAGCCCTGTCAACCCCTCTGTGTGTCGCCTGGTTGGATCTCTCTCAGAGCAGCTGCTACCTTGACTCCCATAGCTTAGGACACAAGCTAGCCGGGAGCTGTACGAAGTAGCAGAAGCAAGTACTCACAGTCCCTCAGGCCAGCTTCTCCTCGGCCCTCTGCTCCTGAAGGGGTGGGCTGGGGTGAGCACCCTGAGACTCGGCTGTCTCCTGCAGGGGTCCTCCTTCCTGAAGTCAGTCACTGGGGCTCAGTGAGGGCCGAAGAGACCCGGTGCTTCACAGATGCCACTCTGCTGATTCTGTGTGCTGGTGCAGCCACCAGCTACTTATTGAAAGGGATCTTGTCAAGGCCTTGTGAATGGTGGGCACTTCAAACGGGGTAGGATGGAGAGAATGCTAAATTCTTTTTTTTTTTTCTTTTTTGATGGGATGGGATTTTTCTCTTTGTAATTAGTTTAATTAACCTTTTGGTTGTTTGTGCAATATTATATATTTTAAATTATAATGCATCTCCCCAGAGTATTTTGTAGCTGGGAAAAGAAAAAAAAAAAAAGAAAAAAGAAAAATTCTAACAGCTGTTAGTTTTGTAATTAAAAAAGGAACAAAAAAAAAAGTTTGTCCTGAACCTTTTACAGATTTGCCATAACAGCATTAAAGTGATTGAACAGAAGCCAGAAGTGTCTGGGGATGGTTCTGTCCCCCATGGCAGCCATACTGGAGTCTTGGAAAGGCTCCTACAGCTCCAAGTGTGACTTCTTGCCTGGAGCATGGGTGGGGTGTGTAGCTAGGGTCCTGAGGTCTCTGGTTTGAGCAAGGCAGGAGCCCAACCAGCCTCTCACCACGCCATGGAGGCAGGAGGCCATTCTGCGGCCCAAATGCTTTTGCTTTTATTTGGAAAGCAGGTTGTAGCACCTGAGTGGTTCTGGTGGGTCATGTTCCTCCTCTCTTCTCCTTGCCCATGATGATTTGAGAACCATTAATAAATATAAGGCCCTTAGTTCTAGGGAGAAAAGAGAAGCTCCCCTAGTAAGGGGCCCGTGGGGCCGGCCACCTTAGAGATGTAGAAACAAGCTATGGGTAAAGGGAACTTAAAGTGTAAAATATATATCACCATTTTAGAAGCGGGTTTTTGGGTTTGCTTTCTCCCCCTACTTTATTGGGGAGGACTTGCCATTGCTTTTATCAAGTGCTTGCTAGCCATGGGTGCCAACTAACTTCTTCGATTGAAGGCCGGAGTATCATATCTGGTTCCAGGAGCCGCTTCAGCAGGTCCTGGCATTCGGTTGAGATGCCCAGATGAGTGGGGAAGGATACCCCCTTCTGTTGCTGCCACAGCATCTTGGGGATATCTGTGTCATCAAAAGGTAGACTTGCACAAAGCATCACATACAGGACCACACCCATGCTCCAGACATCACCTTTCTTGCTATCGTGGGGTATGCCCTGCAGCACCTCGGGAGCGGCGTAGGCTGTGCTGCCACAGAAGGTCTGGCTCAGCTCCCTGCGTGACTTGGGTAGCACCTTGGCAAAGCCAAAGTCGGTCAGCTTTAGGTTGAAGCCCTGCAACAAGGCGTTCTCACACTTAAGGTCTCGGTGGGCCACGCCACAGCCATGGCAGTAGCGAATAGCCTCAACCATCTGGCGGAAGAGGGCCTTGGCCCGGCTCTCGGGAAGTGGCCCTCCGTTCAGCACACAGTCAAAGACATCCCCTCCCTCAGCCAGTTCCATCACCAGGTAGATCTTTCCATCCGCCGACTCCAGCATCTCATACACCCGGATGATGTTTTTGTGGTCCAGGGTACGGACAATCTGGAGCTCTCGAGGCAGGAATCTCTGGATAAACTCTGAGGGGGAAAGCAGGGAGGCAAGATGGGCTATCAAAGTAGAAGGGCCTAATTCCTCCCTCCTGGCTCTTGTTTTCTGGCTCCCTGACACCCACCGTGTCTGTGTGTTCTTCCTTGACTCCCTGAATAGTCTCAGATGTTCTAGCAGCAAGTATTCCCTTTTATTACTTCATGGTTAGCTCATCCTTGGAACCTCGTCCCTGCAGCCTGTGAGACCACAGGTAAGGGGGTGCCTGGGAACTTCAGACAACGCTGTTGAATCCCAGGATCCTTCCAGGAGCCCTGTCTGCCTGTCCCTTCCCCACCTCTCGGCTCCAGTTGTCATCTTCTAGCTAACACCCCCTGGGACAGGAAAAACTGAGGCCCTTTGCCCTGTGCTTCGTGGATGGGGAAAGATGCAACGATCCTGGGTTCCCCACACCCCTCTATTACAGACCTGAAGCAGTAACCTGGCTTGCTTTCTGTCATTCTAAAAGGGAAGGAGAACTGTTCTGAGAAGAGCACCTCCCCGCCTTGGCTAGCCCACCCTCCAAAGGGCCCCAGCTCACCTTCTGGCCCTCCTATCTTGTCTATAATTTTAATTGCCACTTTTCTTTGATGTTTTTTGGAAAATGCTTCTTTGACTTTTGAGTAGGTCCCTTCCCCAATGGTCTTGCCCAGCTGGTACCCATTGGAGAGTAGAAAGTCCTCCATGCTGTGTAGCGCCTCCTTCTTGTCACCCTCTCAGCTCATGCTGCCTCCGTGAGGCAGCGTTACTCCACCATCGCCCTTGGCCTGCTTCTTTTCCCCCCAAGGACTTCATCCACAGCTGCCTCCAGGGCTAGAACATTCTCCGTCTGGACACAGCCACAGGTGGTGGGGAGGGAGAGGACCAGACATTTTTAAGCTCCTGCCCAATTGTGATGTAAATGCTGTGTGACCCTCAGACAACATGGGCAGTGTCCCTGCTGGCCCTCACCGCCACCAGCAAACCCAGCCTGAGTTAAGTCATTCATGAGGGAGGCACCGAGTGGGAACAGTGCCGGAGAAGCGGCCCGGCTGGCTGTGTAGGCCAGGGATGCAGGGCTTCTCCGTGTGGGCTCTGCTTCCAGACAGGTCACCCTCATCTCCGAAGTCTCCATCGAGGTGTTGAGGGATAGTGCGAACGGGTCACCAAGGTGCGGTCGCCAGAAGCCTCTGGCTTCAGGCCCCGGGCCCTCACTAAATGCCCGAATGGCCCGGACCGGCCTAGAATTCCATCGAGGAACAGGCTGTGTGAGGTCAGCACGCAGAGATCGGGGTCACAATGCAGCCCTTCCCTTCGACGCTGGGACCCGGGCACGCAGCAGACACCTGCCAGGCTCCGCCTGGACCGGAGCGTCCTCCCGCGGCCAGGGCTCGGGCAGTTGCTTCCAGCCTGGGACTGGCCTCGGTCTCCGGCAGGTAAGCCACGACACAAGAGGAGGCACGGGCAGGGAGCGCCCAGGGCCCCGGAGTCGCCTGACTGCCACTCCCCGCGCAGAGTGCCCCGGGGCCTGGAGATGAGTGCCCAGGAGACCCCACAGGGTCGAAGATTCCCCATTGAGGCCGGAGACTCCCCTGGCCTTGCCTCCGCCCCCGAGTCCCAGGACAGCCCGGAGCCTGTAGCTACGGATCATAACCCGGTCAGGTGAGGCCGATGCCCTGCCCCTCGGCCCCGCCCCATGCCATCCCCAGGGCCCCACCCTAGAGGACCCCAGGCGCACCCCCAGGGCGTGCCCCAACACTATGCGCCCCCTGTCGCCTGCCGCTTTCGCCAGGCCGCTCCGACGCTGCCCGGGCTGCCACTGTCTGACGCTGCTGCACGTGCCCATCGACGTCTACCTGGCCATGGGCGGGAGCCCCCGGGCCCGTGCCACCTGAGTGCGCCTGCGCACGGCAGCTCCGCAGGAGCCGGGCAGGACGAGGCCAGCCGCGGGCCACCACGCTGAGGTCGCACGCGCCGAGCACGAGACAATGATGCACATTTTAAAATAAAAGAATGATGCACATTTTAATAAAGCACAGCATAAACTGTTCTTTCCACTCCGGGCTGGCCGTGTATGTGTATCCGTCGGATCGGGCCCACTGGCTGCTCTGCCCTAGCCAGTGCCACCCGACTATCCCTTGGGCTGCCTCCTCCCTCAGACCCGCCCTCGACCCACCTCCAGTTCCCAGCCAGGCCTGCCTCTAGGGGAGTGGTTCTCAACCTGTGGGTCTCGACCCTTCAGGGGTCGAATGACCTTTTCACAGGGGGTCGTTTAAGACCATAGGAAAACACAGAGATTTACATTGCAATTCATAGCAGTAGCAAAATTACAGTTAATGAGGTAGCAACGAAAATAATAGTATGGTTGGGGTCACCACACCATGAGGAACTGTATTAAAGGGTCGAAGCGATAGGAAGGTTGAGAACCACTGGTCTAGGGGCTTGTCACCCCTCCCCTGTCCTGGGTCCGCCAGCGAATCATCTCTCTGCGGGACACTGTCTGCTCACAGCAGCTTGGGACTGAAGCAAGGGACAGGAAGATGAGCAGACTATGCAGAAATAATAATAATAATAATAATAATAATAATAATAATAATAAAAGACTGACTACAGCAAGTCTATGTAATTCTCCCAAGCTAGAATTAGGTTCAGCTGCCTGCCTGCTGTTCCCGGGCCTGCTGTGGGGTCAATGATGACCCCATCTGTTTGGACCTTTGCTTCCAGCTGAGACCAGCGCTGTTACTGAGGAGAAAATTTTTTGAAAAGCGTCTTAATTGTTTTTTAGATTTTTATTTTACTTTATGGATTTAATGTTTTGCCTGTATACATGTGTGTGCTCCACATGTATGCCTGTTGGATTCCTTGAAGGTTAAGGATGTTTTTGAGCCACTGTGTGGGTGCTGGAAATCGAACCCGGGTCCTCTGCAAGAACAACAAGCCCTCTTCACCACCAGCCACCTCTCCATCCACCCCCACTGCCCAAGTCTGCTTTTCTTTTCTAACATGGCCTTGAACTTACTTTGCTCATGAGGCTGTCTCAACTCAAGAGATATACCTTCCTCTGCTCCCTGAGTGCTGGAGCTAAAGTGTGCAACACCATTCCTGGTCCTTCAGTTTCTTTCTTTTCTTTTTTTCTTTTATGTGCATTGGTGTTCTGTCATGGGTGTCAGGTCCCCTGGAACTGGAATTAACTGGAATTACAGACAGTTGTGAGCTGCCATGTGGTTGCTGGGAATTGAGCCCGGGTCCTCTGGAAGAGCAGTCAGTGCTCTTAACCACTGAGCCATCTCTCCAGCCCCACCCACCCCCAAATTTCTTAATTACCTGTTTTATAGATGAGAATTAAAGGACTTGCCCAAGGTGTCCCAGATAATGGGTAATGCTGGAACATGCAAGTCTCTCATCTCCTCAAACTAAATGCCTTGAACACCCCCTCCCCACAGCAGGAACCATGACAGGAAGGTTCCTGAGAAGGGAGCCCATTTAAGTGGAACACACTTCAATATTTATATTGTTATTCTATAGAAATAATGGTGGTGGTGGTGGTGGTTATTTTGGGGTCTTGAGGGGCTTTTTTTGTTTTTGTTTTTTTCAACAGAATCTCACTTTGTAGCCCAGGCTGGCCTCTAACTTTGACCTCCCTGACTCAACCCTCAACCTCCCAAGTAAATCACACTCCATCTGGCCCTATAATTTGTTGGGGTATTTTTTTCTCTCTTTAAATATTAAAATATGGGGGCTGGAGAGATGGCTCAGAGGTTAAGAGCATTGACTGCTCTTCCAGAGGCCCTGAGTTCAATTCCCAGAACCACATGCTGGCTCACAACCATCTATAATGAGACCTGGTGCCCTCTTCTGACCTGTAGGCATATAAGCAGACAGAACACTGTATACGTAATAAATTTTTTCGAGACAGGGTTTCTCTGTGAAACAGTCCTCCTGGCTGTTCTGGAACTCGCTCTGTAGACCAGGTGACCTCGAACTCACAGAGATTTGCCTGTTTCTGCTGCCTGAGTACTGGGATTAAAGGCGTGCGCTGCCACCACCGCCTGGCGTAGAAAAAAATTTTTCAAGACGGTTACACTGTGTAGCTCTGGCTGTCCTGAAACTTGTTCTGTAGACCAGGCTGCCCTTGAACTCAGATCTGCCTGCCTCTGCCTCCTGAGTGCTGTTAAATGGTTTGTTTGTTTGTTTGTTGGTTGGTTGGTTTTGTTTAAGATTGGTTTATTTTTAGTTTATATGTATGGATGTTTTGCCAGCATGAGTACCTGCTCACCATGGGCATGCACTGTCCACAGAGGCCAGAAGAGGGTGTTAGATCCCCTGGAACTGGAGTTACAGATAGTTGTGAGCTATTGTTTGGGTGCCTAGGATCAAACCCAGAACCTCTGGGAGAATACCAGTGCTCTGAACTGCGTTTCCAACCCCTTTTTATTTATTTATTTTTAAACATTTAAAAAAATTTTTTTATTTAACTTTATTTTTATGTGCACTGGTGTTTTGCCATGGGTGTTGGGGTTCCCTGGAACTGGAGTCCAGCTCACAGTTGTGAGCTGCCATGTGGGTGCTGGGAATTGAACCTGGATTCTCTGCAAGAGCAGCCAGTGCTCTTAACCACTGAGCCATCTCTCCAGCGGGGGGCCCCCCCTCACATACACACCCACCCCTTTTTATTTTTTAAGGCAGGTTTTCTATGCCGTACAGGCTAGCCTGGCACTCCACATCCTCCTACTACCTTCTCAGGGCTGGGATTACCCGGCACCACCACACCCAGTTAAGTACCCTTGCTGATTTCCACACAAGCTCTCTCTCCCAGGTGGTCCTTAAATGCTAGGTTCTGTGGACTCATCTAGCCCTGAAATGCCAAATCCTTACCATTCTCCCTTTTTCGTCTCATCTCTGGTACTTCCTTCCCTGCCCCACCCTCTTCTCAACCTTAAAAAACACAAAACACAAAACATAAAAATAGTAAATAAATAAAAATGCTAAAAACAAACAACAACTAAAACCCTATAGCATAAGCATTTCCTGCCGCCTCCTATACAAGCGTATAGGGAGGCTGACTCAGGCACTGACCTTGCCAGACAGACCATGGAGCTAACTGGCTCTAGAATGTCGGTGAGCCAGGGAAAGAGACATTGCAGGTGAAACACTGTGTGTGGGCAAAGGCTTTAAGGCAGGAAGGTGGAAAGCGCGTTCAGGAACTAAATTTTCAAGCCCAGTCCCTGTTGCATGCTGAGAGTCCACATCTACCGCAGAAGCTCCAGGGTCAGCAGAAGAAAAGGCACACCAAGGAAGCCTTGAGGCCCAAGCTGAGGAGAGTGAACTTTGTTCTGCAGACAACAGACTAAGCCGGACTCCACTCGCCTGTCTTCCATTTCTCTCTGGTCCTTCCTCCTTCTGCCTAGAAAAGCCTCCGGCTTCAACTCCAAACCTGTGTTCAAATCCTGTCTCTGCCACTCACTGACTGTATGACCTCTCTGAGCTTCCATGCCCATGTCTGAAAAGGAGGGGGGAGGTTTATGTCCCCTTGGCTTTGGTCAGGCCATATCTCTACAGTACCAGCCTGGAGGCCAGACTCGATTAGTCCTTGAAAAACTGAGGTTGAAGGTGCTTGTCCTCTGCCCTTTGATTTCAAGGGCAGCACAGAGGCAGGCAGGCAAGAGTCACCAGTCTGCAGAGGGTTGGATCTGGAGCCTAGAGAAGGGACTGCTTCTAGAAAAATCCCTAGTTAGAAAGGTAGTGTTGCATTCCTCATTCCCAGGGGTAGAGCTGGCCAGAGACTCCAGTACAGGACCCCCTGCTCCAAGCCTTAGTCTCTGGGCCTGAGCCATGAGAAGGGACCCAGAAAAAGATGTTTAAATCACTGCCTTCTCTGATTTCTCTCTCAGATACCTTATTAGCTGGCCCCTCCCTAAGGGACCCCCTTTTAGAAGGAGGGGGCGAATCCAAGTACAGATGGACCCCCCAGGTTTCCATGGAGACGGCAGGGAAAGGGTTGCTGTATCACCATGGCAACAATTGACGTCAGCACTATTTCCCATCTCTCGATATGAGAGGGGGGCAGCCACCCCAACCACGAGCGAATCCCCCACAAAGCCTCCTCCCCTTGCTGAGCCAATCACCAGAAGGGGTGGACAGGCTTAATATAGAACAGGAGGTAAAAAGCAGAGGCTTGGATGTCAGTCAGACCTCAGTTCAAATCCTCACTCTGCCCCATCCCGGTGTGGAACTGAGCGCATTCCTTAACCCCTCCAAGCTCCATAGGTACCACGGGGACAAGCCAGCCTCCCTCCAAGGGCTGCAGGAGGTGCAGGTCACACACTGGGACCAGGCCGTGGGAAGTGTGTAGTGACAGCTTCTCATCTTGGGACCTGTCGGGGAGTGGTGGCCTTGCAGACTCAGCCAACCCCCAGAGGGGGCCCCAGGATGATCACGGACCAGACCCCAGGATGTGTGTGTGCTCTTGACGAAGTCAGTGCCAGTGGAATTTCCAGGCTCTGAGGAAACCACAGATGTCACTTTCCCTGAAGTCCATCACATCCGGGCTCTGACCCAGCTTCCTCTGCCTCCTCCTCCCCTGTGCCCTGTAGTAAGCCTTGTCAGCAGCCTTGACTTCCTGAGCCTCCGTCTTCTCCTGTAGGAAAAAAAAGATGAATGGGAGACCAGGGGAAGGCAGGGGCCAACCCTGCACCGGGTAGAGCAGAGTGGACAGCCCCAGGGAAACGGTGTTCCACACCCACTGCCCCTTCCCCACACTGGGGAATGAGCCTCGGAGGCACTCCGTTCCTTCCTGTTTCCTCCAACCCCCACTCCAGGCAAAGGGCCTGTTCAAGTTCGCCCGGCACCATTCTGAGTGAGACCCCCCTCACCAGCCATCCAGACTCCTCCAGCAGCCCCCTAACCACGCACAGCCTCCTCCCTGCTTGCTTGGTCTAATCTACAGCCCCAGAAGTCACTCCTCCTTAAATCTCATCAGTGGCTTCATGTCACTTGTCCTGACACACCAGGTCCCAGGCAGATCCTCACACAGAGATCCTCACACAGAGATCCTCAC